GGACGAGCCGCTGCTGCGGGACAACCCCCGCCGCTTCGTCATCTTCCCCATCCAGTACCACGATATCTGGCAGATGTACAAGAAGGCCGAGGCTTCCTTCTGGACGGCGGAGGAGGTGAGGGGGCGGGCGGGTCCCGGCGGCCCCGCTGCGGGCCACGTTCCTGGAGCCCCCGTCTCTGTATTTCATCACTCTGGTGATGTTTTAGGTGGACCTTTCCAAAGACATCCAGCACTGGGAGTCCCTGAAGCCTGAGGAGAAGTATTTCATTTCTCATGTCCTCGCCTTCTTTGCTGCCAGCGACGGCATTGTCAATGAAAACTTGGTAAGTGTGTAGGAAGTCCTGACAAAAACATCACTTGGTGAAAATAGCCAGATACCTACATGTTTGATGTGCTTGATGGCTGGTGTAGCTTGATTGCGAGATCTTGTAGTGTTGCAGTGTTACGACATCTTATGCTAATTAGCAAATTGATTTTGTAATCTGCAAGTTTGCCCACTCCATGGGGCACCAAGTGTTGGCCTCACAGCAACACCTGACTGTTCAGAGCCCTTGTTCTCCTTCCACCCTCAATTCTCTTCTCTCTAGTGGAGGATAATAAAGTGAAGAAATTTTCCTGATTTTCTTGGAACCAAAGAATAAGTCAAAACTTGGAGCTGTGAGGGGCTACTGCTCTTCATATTGCTGTTAATAATCCACATGCCTGGAATTAATCTGACAAGGGTTCTGTGGGCTGAGCAAGAGCTGTTACAGACAGCATCCATGCTTCTAGCCTACCAAGTTGTAAATGCTTTTGCAAACACACCTTTATTTCCTCTAGGTGGAGCGCTTCAGTCAAGAAGTACAAGTCACAGAAGCTCGTTGTTTCTATGGTTTCCAGATTGCCATGGAAAACATACATTCAGAAATGTACAGTCTTCTTATTGACACCTACATTAAAGATTCTAAAGAGAGGTTTGTATTGCTCAATGATAAGTTCAACACTCTTAAGTGCTGAGGTTTAAATAATGCATATCAGTCACTCTGATTTTAAGGCTAATTTTAGGCTCTAAACTAGATTTATATAAAATACCACTGCTGCTTAAAAGCAGCTTTTCCTCAGAATATCTCCTCTGAATTGTATGAGCAAGAGCTTGTTTAGACTAAGAGTGAAGCTGAAACTATGTGAAAAATGGAACAATCAAATAAGGGGAGTACATTAAGTTGCAGTTGGTGCTCATATGGAGGACTCAGGCACCTTGTAGAGAGCTAGGTTAGGAGAGTTTATCTGAGAAAGATGTCCCTTTGAATAAAATGTAGTTTTGAAACCTCAGTGCATTTAATTAACAGCTAGCACTTCTACATAGCATGTGCTGCCCTTACTCATGTGACTACTTTGATTGGGGTAAAAAAAAAAAGCAAGTCCCATTTGCTGAAAAGTGGCTTTTGGTCTTCATTAAAAATAAACACTAAGTGTAAAGTTTTCATAACAAGATAAACTGGTTAAATAATGGTGTCTTAAAACTACAGGGCTTTGAGTTGCCTGGACTGACTTACACTGGTGTCAGACCAACACCCTGCCACCAAAATGTTATTGCAATGCTATTTGCAGTCTAGATACATTGCTACTACTTTATACAGAGCTGTCCTGCTATTTCTACTCTGAGATGCTTAAATAATGCTTAGTCCTAGTGACAGGACAAGGGACAATGGCTTTAAGCTAGAAAAGGCTGGATTTAGGTTAGATGTTAGGGAAAAATTCTTAAGCGTGAGGGTTATAGACCACTGGAATAGGTTGCCCAGAGATGTGGTGGAGACCCCATCCCTGGAGGCATTTAAGGTCAGGCTTGATGAGGCTCTGAGCAGCTTGATAAGAGGGGGGTTGGACTAGATGACCTTTGGAGGTCCCTTCCAACCAGAACATTCTGCAATTCTATAAATTCCAGTAAATGTTTAAGGAAGAACTGCTTACCTGAGAGCTCTGATGCCTTACCACTGGGAAGTGGAGGCTGGCTGATTTGTAGCTCTGAAAGCCTTGTTCAAGCACAGTAGTTGATAGAACAGGACTCCCCTTGATATTGTTGGGAGAATTTGTGTAAGCTGGTGTTGATGTGGTGGGTAGGTAATGAAAAGAGAGTTGATGGGTGCAAACAGAACTAGATTGGTGCAAAATAAGATGGAGAAGAAGACTTAATCATCAGAGTGAAGGTGCAGAGCACTTGTAAATGAGGGAGACCATCTATGGCAGTGAATGCTTATTGTACTAATGCTGCTGTCTGATCCTAATGAGTTCTACCCTTCTCAGGGAATTTCTTTTTAATGCTATTGAAACATTACCATGTGTTAAAAAGAAGGCTGACTGGGCCATGTGCTGGATTGGGGACAAGAAAGCAACATATGGTGAGTATGTTTGAGTAGCAGAGTGGAATTCCTTCACTGAAAATAGAGGAACCACCCTTTCTCCAAACTTCACAGTTCACTGGGATTATTGTCACAAGGAGAGTACATGATCTGGTGTAATTCTGGGGATAAGATTTTAGTCTTGCAGATGAGCTACTGATATGAATCTTTGTAAAACTGCTGGTATTTTGAATAATGGTAGCTCATGTGGCAGCCCTCATATGCTTGGCTGTACACTTACACTGTAGATTTGTCATGTCCCCAGAACTGTTTTGGGCAGCTCTCTCTAGCAGAGACATTCAGTTGGAGCCTGTAGCTCCTCTGCCTTACTTTTGATGTCTTGGGTCAAAAGTGTGATGAGATGGTACAGATCATTGTTTTGATAGTATTAAAGCATTCTTTGTGGCCAAAGTTCCTTCATCAAAGATGAGCAGACACTGACTGAAATCAGCTGCTAAAATGACAGTTCTCTTTCAGTGTGCTGTCTTTGAAGAAAGATGGTATTGATGGTTAACCTGGGGGAAGAAGCCTTGGCTTTAGCTCCTTAGTAGCTATTCTAGTGTTTATTTCTTCTCATGTTTAAAAGTTTTGCTCAATGACCAGAAGCCTTTAATAGTTTCTAAGGACAAGCCATAGTACACTTGATCAGAAACAACTTCATTCTCCTTGGAGGTCTGTTTGCAATTTCTGGGTATTAATCCTGTTGAGCTTTGTGTGATATTGCTGTCAATTTTTTCTTAACAGGAGAACGTGTAGTAGCTTTTGCAGCAGTGGAAGGAATCTTCTTTTCTGGCTCTTTTGCATCTATTTTTTGGCTGAAGAAAAGAGGATTAATGCCTGGACTCACTTTTTCTAATGAACTTATCAGCAGAGATGAGGTATGAATTGAATTTTAGCAGTTAAGATGGTAATATGCCACAGTAGCTTAAAGTGGTGATATTGAATTTTGCAGCCTGTGTTTTAGAACAGGAGTTGGTCTAGAAACAGGCAGTCTATAAAGCTCAATAAAGTATATAAATGTGTCACTGTGGATCCTGCAACAAAGAATGAATGAACTTAGTATTTTACTTCCTCTAGAGTAGTCTAAGGGTTCTCACCAACTCTTGCACTCAGTAGCAAGTACAGCTGGTACTGGCGGAACTTGCTTATGCCTCCTTCTGGTTAGGTGGAAAGCTCTTTGCAGATAATGCTGAATGTGGCAAGTGCAAAGGTGGTGCTGAGATGATGCTATTTATTCTGTGGTACTGATTTGAGTGTCTTCTAAATGAGTGTTCCTGAAATAATTTTATGAAACTTCCTTTTAAGGGCTTGCACTGTGATTTTGCTTGCCTCATGTTCAAGCACTTGATACACAAACCATCAGAGGAGAGAGTGAAGGAAATCATCATGAATGCTGTTCTCATAGAACAGGTAATTGTCTGCTCCTTGCTTAGGAACTTGATCACAATTAAGCAGAAAGCTGGGGAGCTGTTGGGTATAAAATTAACCTGGAAGGTACAAAGCGAGTACCTGTTTCTGTACATAAAGTGCTTCTATTATCTGCAGGAATTCTTGACAGAGGCACTCCCTGTGAAGCTGATTGGCATGAACTGCACTTTAATGAAACAATACATTGAGTTTGTAGCAGACCGGCTTATGTTGGAACTGGGATTTAAAAAGGTAAGGCTCTAATATACTGAGTCTTTCATGGGCAAATGATAAGCTTAATTTCCTCCAGAAACCCAAATCCTAAAATGGCTGCAGCAGTACTGATGTAACTTATAAAACCATTTAGCAGTCTGCTGCTAGATCCTGTTTGGAGACCCACAGAAGGAAAAGCACAAAAGGAAGCTACATGAGAGTTTGTGCTTCTACTGGAGCTAAAAGACAAGAACAAATACACAAGATATTTTCATTCACTGTGTAGTAAGCCTGCTGATGTTGTTAGATTCTTTCCAGCTGATCTCTAATGCTCTCACACATTTAAGATGCGAGTACCTGAGTACTTGTAGTGACTATAGAATTGCCTTTGTGTTTTCAGATCTACAAAGCAGAGAATCCTTTTGACTTCATGGAGAACATCTCTCTGGAAGGCAAGACCAATTTCTTTGAGAAGCGTGTGGGTGAATATCAGAGGATGGGAGTCATGTCGAAGCCCACAGACAACTCCTTCACGCTGGATGCGGAATTTTAACTGGGACCACATGAGTTAGTGTGGATGCTCCCCGGCTTGCTGGGAAACATGAAAGATACTGAGTCAGTGTGACTTGATTCCTGCATGAAAGTCCCACTCTTGAAAAGTGTGGTGATGCACTGATACTTTCTGGGAGGCTAGTGTAGCTCCAGCAGTAAAATCCCTTTTAGATTTTGCCAAGGGTGTTAATTCATAGAATGCTTAGATGTATCTCTTGCAACATATGCTACTCCATTTTGTGAAAGATACGGACACCTTCCTTCTGCAAGAAGGTTATGGGCAGTGACCACTAGCTCCTGCTGTTCTCCCCATAAACAAAGAAGCAGTTGAGAAGTTCTAGTCCTAAATTTGCTGAGTACTCTGCAGAAAACTCTGGAGGCAGCTACATGACCTCACTGCTTTCTTAGCAGGTTCTAAGTTTACCTTTTTATTATTGTTTTAATAGTTTGTACATAAACCTGGCACTTTAATGTTTAAAATAAAGAACTGTCTTGTAATACTCGACAATGGTAAAATGCAAGTCTAAATCTTTATGGACTTTCACAACATAACCTTTTATGACTTGTGCTTCTTTCTGGGTATGTAACTTAAAAACGGTGCTGCAAATCAAACTATTGATTTTTTTAAATCTATTGAAGAACAGGAAGAAACTTGGTATGGAGGGTGAAGAACTTAAGTTGGACATTCTGGGTGCTGAAAAATAACATGCAGCTGGCTTCTGGACTTAATTGCTTTTTCTTTAATATCTGGGAACAGTAGTAATAAAGAGCTGGTTGTGTTCATTGTTGTACTGTCTTCAGTGCTCCAGTGGGTGAAACTGTTAATTGCCTCCTGAGCTGCAGACTTTCTGAGGAAATGCAGGTTCTGCAGGAAATAGCTGCTTAATTGTGTGGTTGGTAGATGTCAAGCTGTTAGGCTTTTCTCAGACTTCAGATTTACTGCACTAAATGAATGTGTTTTGGGGTAAATTCAGCTAATTTGGGCTGGAGCAGTATTCTTCTGCATCATGAAGGGTAAATTTTGGTTTTTAATACATAACAGTAGTGAAAACAAAGTATATGCTAAAATATTACTCCACACTGAACATGGAGCAACACAAGTGAGTATGCTTACTATAACTTGGGTATGTGTATGTGGTCTGTGAAGGATTTCCTTGTGGTCTTAAGACTGGAGTTCCTGCAAGTATCTGCAGTGAGATTAAATAATGGGGTAGACTGAAATTAGTTACTGCCTTGGAATTTATTCCATGATCCAATCTAATAAGGACTTTTCCTGCAAGTCTGCTATTCAAGTGTTGATATGGAAAACTACAGAACTTAAAACATATCCTTGAAAGTAAACTGATTTTTTTTTTTTCCCCTTTATTCTGAAGTGCTCCCTCTTGGAGCCCAACATATATGGTGCTTCTTTGAGAGATGCTGCCTTGGTGTAAAGTTGACTTGCTGATCTTTCTTCCTTTGCTTATGATTACACTGAAGGTTATGGTATGTGACTGTTCTTCCCCTGGGCCTGTGAAGCTAGCAGGATGTGCACATTTCTAGGGAGAAAATAACAATTAAAAGTCCTAAGCACCAAAGTCTGGAATTCAAAGTGGAAGTTCCAATACTTAACAGATGGCTCTAATGCCCTTGAAGCATGGATGTTTGTCAATGATTGCAGTGATCTGAGACTATGTTAGGATCTGAAACAGGGATGTGGTAAAGTTGTATAGCCAAACACATCATTTTGAAGTGCTGAAACTTAATGCTTGTTTTTAAAGTTAGGCAGGTGTCTGGCTAAATAGCAGCATTTTGTTCTCAGCAAATTGGGCTTCATGCTTTTTCTTGGCTTCTCTTGGCAGTCAAAGCTTTGATCAAAATAAGTGATAAAAAGCATTCAGAACCTGTGGTGTAGGGCTGTGTTTAGAGTATAAATGAGATGAGATCAGTTTGGACCACAGTGTGATTTATCAGCATCCAGTTTATGTTCAAACCTTAATTTATATAATTTAATATAGAAAAAGGGCAAGACTACTTAGCCTTTGAATAGGATCTATCTATATCATTGCTATCTCTTCCCACTTGATTCTTAACATGGTCAAGGATTGATACATCGAAATTATGGTGGAAAGCTCTAAGTTATCCTTAATTCTGGGAGATAATACTGGAGAATAGAGCTCCAGTTCTTATGCTGAAATGCATGTATGATGGCCAAGTAATTATTTGTAATGTCAGGTGGAAAGAATGTCCCTTTTAGCCAAGCACTGCTCTTACAGGTTAATAGGTACTGTAGACATGGATGCATTAGAGGTGGAGTAGGTAGGAATTAGAAATGATTCAACAAGAGAATAAGACTTGCTGTGGCTGGTATTAATCTTATCCTGGTGCCACTGATGTCTAAATGATTACGTAGTTTTGGGTTTCGTGCTTGCTGTAATGCAGATCAGTTTTTCATGTATAGTCTGGAGAAAAGCTATGCATCTGGTCCCACCTATTTTAATTCTCATTTCTCTCAAATATTTAAATGTCTTGTTGTTGCTTATTTTATCTGCATCATGTGTCCATGTCTTGATAAAATACTTATTTACTAAAAACAGATTACCTTCCATTTCAGCTGAGATGCCAGTTGTTTTGAGACTTGATCCTCTTAGGCACTGAAGAGATAACAATCCTTTCTTTAACAAAAATAAGCTTATACTCTGAAAAATAAATTTTCGTAACAATATAACTGACCCTCTGGAATATCTTTTGGAATGGAGTTTGGAGAACCAGGAAAGATTTGAAGCAAAGTGATGAAAGCCCTGTTTTTTTAATCCTTGTATGAATCAGAGCAGCTGTCTAATAGGGGTTCTGGTGCAGTACCCCTGTGAATTGCCACAAGTGAAAAGGCATTAGGCAGTGGAGGAAAAAATATTGAGATAAGTAAAACTGGATGTATTTGGTACAATACTGTTGTAATTTATGCAGAACTGATCCATAGCAATCCCTGGTGTTTTTTACTGCTGTTTAAATTAGTGGCTTTTAAAAGCAGCAGATAAAATGGAAGAACAGTAACCTCAAGCATAGTGTCTCTTGTCATGTTTATTTCTACTGTAGTTTGTTAAAAAAAACCCCTACAATTGCATGGGTTTGGGTAAGAACTTCCATAAGTCTTCAACTGACACGTTTTCACGTAAAGTTTTCAGCATTTGACATGTAACCTTGGGTGGTGTGGAGTAAGAGCAGCAATCTAAAGTCAACCTTGTCCTCAGGAAGCAATTGCAACAGTGTAATGGCAAAGAAAATCCCCAGATTTCTCAAATTTCCTGGAGTGATTACAGCAATTTGTGTCCAGAAGAGGTCAGAACAGTTGCAGCTGCTCATGCCTGCAGCAGGGCACAGCCAGCCTGCAGATCTGAAGGCACAGGAACAGGCTGGTGTGATCCCTGAAGGGTAACAGCTTCCTCTGCACCAGTCAATCAGAAACTGCCTGGCAGAAAGCAGTAAAGCAACGAACTTGTGCTCATTCAATGCCTGCTTTTCAGTTGGCCAGTCAGCTATGGCTCACTTTATCTTAGCCTGTTGATTACCTCTTGGTGCTTTGGCCTCCCCTGTTGTACATAATGGATTATGAGAATTAAATGTTTCCATCAGGTAGGATTTGAGCTATATGGAGGGCTAGGTCTTGTGACCTGCCTGATGGACAGCTAGACTTTTTGTTAGTGTTTCATCCCTTCGGAGTGTTACTGAAGTCCTGTGATCTGTACAGCACAGTTGTTTGGTTTCTGCAGTGAAACAGTCTTTACAAGAATGGATAAGAGTATGCTAACAAGAAAAAAAGGTCTGTCAGATCCTTGTCACTGGTTTTACTTTTATATCCAATTGATTTTTGAAGTAATGAAAATATTGCTACTTTGTGAACCTGCAGAAAAATGGGGGAAACATTTTATCCCTTTAGAGTGTATTGTGGAAGTCAATGATGAGATCTTGCTGACACTGTTGATCAGAGAAATGGTGTTGTTTGGGTATCTGCTTTTAGTCATCTCTGGGACACTGGGTGGGATGAAGAAGGAACACCATTTTCCATTCCCACATCTGGATGTTACTGGTGCTGTGCTGGATATTGGCTGACAAATGTGTTGTTGTTGTGATCCAGAGGTAAGGCCATGCAAACAATAAACCCCAAGGCACTGACGGGCCACCAGAGCTGTGGCTTTGACTCCTGACCAGGTTTCTCCCATGTCTTTTTTTTTTTTTTTAATCTGCTGGAGAAAAGTTTGAAGGTGAGTGCTTCATGGTCCAGAAGAGTGGGCTGTGTTAAAGCCCTCCCTGCTGTGGATGCTTATCCTCTTTCTGCAAATAGGAATTCTGAGATACGTCAGGGGTGAAGGAATTTAAAATGAATACCTTTTCTTGCCCCTGCTGTTAGTGATTTTTTTTAAACTTCAAATATATACAGAAAAATAGCTTAGTGGACAGCTTTGCAATTCTTTCCAACAACCAAATCAGTCTTCTGCTTTTTCCCCTGTTATAATAGTGTGTAGCTTATACCACAGGCAATGCTGCTTTGTTCATCAGATGAAGATTACAGTGAACTACTAGGAGATGCTTAGGACATACAGCACTTGAGAGAATTGGTTGGATGCTCAGCACTTCTGTGTTGAGGTTTTTCTTTTGCCTAAGGGCACAGACTGGTGTAAGAAGCACCTGTGTGGATCTGAGATGCAGACTGAGGGGAAAAAAAAAAGAATCTGGCCGGTTTCTGCTACCAGTTGCTGGTAACTAACTTGCATTTTCCTAATATTATAGGATTTAGCTTAAAAAAAGAATGAATTTGCAGTGTCCAAATCTTGGGAGTACTGAGTTTCCAAGAGAGTTGTGTTTCTGTTCATTTTGGGGTTGGGGGGTGCTGCTACTCCTGTTACAGCCTCTCATACCGGGCTGTATGAGATGCTGATGTAATCCAGGATGGCTTGCACAGTCCTCGTCCTGCCTCAGATCAGGCCAGCAGTGGGGTAGATTTTCTTTTGATAGATTCTCATTTTAACAAGGATCTAGCAAATGGATTGTAGATGGTAACTAGGCCAGTTCATGGTATTTAAATGAACAGAGTAACTAAGCTGGCCTTCTAAATCAGTCATTTAAAGACTGGGGTGTTTAGCCCCAGGGGAAGGTGCTTGCAAGTATTTTTTGCAGATAAAGCATTATTTAGGCAAACTAGGTCTTGCAGTGTCTGTATTTCCTGGCGAAAGTGTCTCCAAAGGTGCTGCTTCAGCTAGAGCAC